TTATTAGGTGCACAACTAAGTTCTCGCTGTTTTTTTGATGAAAATGCAACTTTATTGTGAAAAAATGGTTACAAATGAATCATTCAAAATATTGCCCATCGCTAGCGACAACTTTTTCCCATCTTTCTGGCTGTTCGGAACTAACCCGAACATATGATAGCTCCGGAGAGCTGGCTGGAAGTACGGGATCGCAGAGCGACGTCCGCCTGCGTCTAGGCCCGCTCGAGTCCGCTCGATGACAGACCGGTCGTCCTGATCAAAGGCCGGGGCCTCGTAAGGCGACCACGGACCCTGTTGATCAAGCAACGTCGCGCGCCGACTGGGCCATGCCCAGGGACGGCGGCGAGAACAAGAGAGAGGGAGCACGCGCACGTGCCGACGTAAAGTGACACGCAGTGTAAAACGCAATGGACGCAATAAACGCAGTAGTAACGCAGAAGAAATAACGCAGAAGAACGACGCAGAAGAACATAAACGTAGCTATATACAAGCGAAACAACGTCGCTTACGTAAGTCCCGCAGGACACACGTCCGTGACGTCAACGGTGCGCGGCACCCGAAGCACGCCAAGGACGTGCAACGAAACGACCTCCGTTTCGGATGGCCTGCCCTTCCGGACGTAACGGCCAATAGCCAGCCACGGTCCCGAGGACGCGTGGAAATGGAGCTTCGAGAGCTCCGGCTCGCAGGACGACCAAGTCGCTCCTGCGAGAAAGCCAAGTTCCCAATGGACACTTGGACGAAGGAGCGCGAACGCTCTAGGACTGCGACCGAGCCGCTCCAAAACCGCCAACAAGGCCCCCTACGGACAATAAGGGAGCTCGAAGCTCCGAGGAGACGGTCGAGTCGCTCCTAAGATCACGGCAACGCCGTGAGCCCGAGATCACAAAACGAGCTCGAACCATTAGCCTCAACCCAGCAGGGTGTATCGGCGCCACCTTCAACTCAGCAGAGTATATAGAGCAGTGGTTCGAATCTGAAACGAAAGACCGATCGCCCTAGGAAGCCTAGAAAACGCGTCGGTAATCACCAGTACACGATGCACTAACGCGTAGCACTACTTGCTACCTAAAACTGGCCAGGCAGAAGACAAGGCAAGGCAAAGGCCAGGCACGGCGCGCCTGGTTATATATGCGGGCGGTCGAATGTTGCCTGCGGGTGGCGGAATCGTGAGCCGCGCCATGTAGCGGCCGCGGTTGGACCTAGTGGGGGTCCCGCGCGCTCGCTCGCGAGAACCCGCGTTCCCCGCCGCTAGCGAGAACGCCCCGGGAACCAGGCCGCCCGCCCTGCAGCGTCGACTCGCACCGACATTCCGTACGGCATCACGTGCCGTACGGAACACTGGCAGAGCTCGAATACCGTCACGGTAGAAGTGTTCGTCTTTTGAGGCTATCCACGAATCAAGCCATTTTGAGATGTCTTCATATGAGCGGAACTGCTGATTAGCCAGACCATGTGCCATCGAACGGAACAAGTAATAATCGGACGGCGCAATATCTGGGGAATATGGCGGGTGGGGTAGGACTTCCCATTTGAGCGTTTCTAAGTAGGTTTTAACGGGTTTGGCAACGTGAGGCCGAGCGTTGTCATGCTGTAGAATCACTTTTTCGTGCCTCTGCTCGTATTGTGACCGCTTTTCGCGCAGTGCTCGGCTCAATCGCATCAATTGAGTTCGATACCGTTCCCCAGTGATGGTTTCGTTCGGTTTCAACAGCTCATAATAAATAACACCGCCCTGGTCCCATCAAATACACAGTAAAACCTTCGCAGCGTGAATATTCGGCCGAGCCGACGACGTAGAAGCATGACCGGGCAGTCCCCATGATTTTGTTCTCTTTGGGTTGCTGTAATGAATCCATTTTTCATCACCCGTAACGATGCGATGAAGAAAACCCTTCTTTTTTTGCCGCTGGAGCAGTTGTTCACAGGCGAAAAAACGACGCTCAACGTCTCTTGGCTTCAAATCATAAGGAACCCAAGTTCCTTGTTTTTGAATCATTCCCAACGCATGCAATCGCTTGGAAATGGCTCGGCGGGTAACTCCTAATGCTGAAGCAAGCTCTTTTTGCGTTTGGCACGGATCCTCATCGAGCAATGCCTCCAATTCAGCGTCTTCGAAGGTTTTTGGCCTTCCTTCACGCGAACGGTCGTCAACATCGAAATCACCGTCTTTGAAGCGACTGAACCAATCACGGCACGTTGTTTCACTTAGAGCAGCATCTCCGTAAACTTTTTGGAGTTCTCGATGCGCTTCAGCCGCCGTTTTCTTCGAATGAAAGAAGAAAAGCAACACTTCCCGCAAATGACGATTATTTGGCACAAAATCAGACATTTTCACACAACCAAAAGTATATGACGCAAAAACAAAATCACTAATGTGTCAAAGCGGTTTGTTTACCATATGTCTAAGCTTGGTTCATGACGTTTTGGTTATGTCACAATCGACCAGCACTTACTATTGGAGCCATCTCTTGAAAAACAGCGGGAACTTAGATGCGCACCTAATATTATAGAAATATTACGATAATATTGCAATATTACTATAATATTTCTATAATATTACATAATATTGTGCTATGTGGGTAGTAATGTGCATGAATGTATATAATAAAAAAGTATACTGTTTATAAATGCCCTCAAAAACACTGGCATATAAAAAGTTTTGGTATATATATTTGCTGTCCTCGAAAACAATGTTTTATTGCTGTACATAAAACAAAAATCATAATAATGAAAAATGAACTGTGATGTATACGAGGGTGGTCCGATAAGTACTTAGCCTACAAAAGAAAAACGATAATTTTGGAAAAGTGGCGATTTATTTCTAAACATAGTCTCCTTTTAGCTCGATACACTTGACCCAGCGATGCTCCAACTTCTTTAACCCGTCTGAAAAATACGTTTTCTCGAGGTCTGCAAAGTAGGCCTCCGTGGCGGCGATGACCTCTTCATTCGATTCAAATTTCTGCCCGGCGAGTGACTTTTTCAAGTTTGGAAACAAAAAGAAGTCGCACGGGGCCAAATCTGGAGAATACGGTGGATGGGGCAGCAGTTCGTAGCCCAATTCGACCAATTTGACCGTGGCGAGAGCGGAGGTGTGAGCCGGTGCGTTGTCATGATGGAAGAGCACTTTTTTCTTCGCCAAATGGGCCGTTTTTCTGCAATTCTGCGTCGAATCGGCCCAATAATTCGGCATAGTACAGCCCTGTGACCGTTTTGCCCTTCTCCAGATAGTCGATGTAGATCACACCTTGTGAATCCCAGAAAACGGTGGCCATCACCTTTCCGGCCGATAGGACAGTCTTCGCCTTCTTCGGAGCACGTTCGCCGGGTGAAGTCCACTGTTTCGACTGTTCCTTGGTCTCTGGTGTGTATCAGTGGATCCATGTTTCGTCGACGGTCACGAAACGACGCAGAAATTCCTTCGGATTGCGCTTAAACAGCGTCAAACACTGCTCCGAAGTGGTCTCACGGTTGCGCTTGTTGTCCGGAGTGAACAAACGCAGCACCCATCGCGCCGACAGCTTTCTCATGCCTAAAATTTCATGCAAGATATGACCCACGCGGTCTTTTGAGATGCCTACTGTCTCAGCTATCTCGCGCACCTTCAATCGGCGGTCTGCCAATACGAGATCGTGGATTTTTGTCATGTTATCCTCCGTGGTAGCCGTTTTCGGAGCACCTGGGCGTGGCTCATCAAAAACCGACGTGCGACCACGTTGAAACTCGTTAAACCAATTTTTGACGGTCGCCATCGAAGGAGAAGAGTCACCGTACACAGCATCCAAGCGCTCTTTGATTTCGCTGCGCGATTTTCCTTCCAAAAACAAGAATCGAATCACCGACCGATATTGCTCTTTTTCCATTTTTCTAAAATCCGCGGACACGCCCGCTTCCACACGCAGTCAAAACAAAACTACGAGTCCGATTCGGCTGAAATTTCGACAGTAGCCGTCTACGAGAATGTACTACACGATAGTAAATTTCTCTTGCGATAGTGGCGCCATCGGGCGGAGAGGTTAAGTACTTATCGGACCGCCCTCGTACTTCGGAGGACCATACCGCTTCTATGTATATTGAGAAATTATTATGTTTTTTAATGTCCTCAAAAACGTCAATCGACAAATATATATATATATATATTTATATGTAAGGCCTATTCTTTTTCGCTGCACTACTGCACTGATGCAATAAGTTAGAATGAGAAATATATATTTGTTTCACTCTAACTTATTGCATCAATGCAGCAGTGCAGCGAAAAAGAACAGGTCTTATATTTATATATATGTGTACTGGATTTAAATGTAGCGCGTATCCCCACTCTGTATCACGTGACCCATTTTAGTTCCACCAGTTCCGGTACGTATCATGGTGGCGCTCCAAAGACCCTCGGTTTCTAAGAGGGGAGTTTGTATCCCCTGAAGTAAAGTCAATAACAATGGCGACACACAGAGTTCGGCAAGACCATTTGTTATTATATGTGATAATAAACAGTCAAAGATTATTAGAAATATTAATAACGGCTATCAGTGAAATTGAAAATTGCGAAACTGAAGATAATGTAGTAAAAAATTTATTAACCCCTTGGGTACGGATTTATTTGAGAAAATATTTGCATGTGGAACGGATATAATTTTTGGTTGCTTGGAGTAGTATGTAAAAGCAGTACATTTTATGTAAGAATTTATTTATTTCTAAAATATTGGTGACATATGTAGTATTAAGATGTCTTCAAGTAATTAGAATTGCAAAACAAAAATAAATTAATAACAACAAAATAAAACTAAATGAAATAAATTCAAGCTATAACAAAAAACCAATTACTAATAATTATGCAAAGTGTGATATTTTTCAATGCAAGTAGGTAAATGCAGTGCTACTTTGCATTGTTTGCACTGCCACGTAGTCTCTTTCCTAATATTATGCTTATAACAAACACGGCACCTTTTTCCAGGGTGTTGCTTGGACTTAGTTGACGGAATGTTCTCAGGAAAGTGTGCTCAATTTTTCGTTGCCAAACGAAATGGTGTATCGTTACTTGACGGACGTCCACGACGTTTATAATTTGGCAATGACAATTGCTCCAGCAATTCTTCGGCAATAGCTAAACGAAAGGAAATAATGCCTGCCTTGGTTGTGCAGTTGATTTTAGAATATAAAACATGAGCATTATAAAAGGCCATATCTATTAGATAAAAAAACATTTTCTTATAACCCTTTACACATTTTCTCATAACTGGGAAGCACGCTAGCAATTGGTCTTGTTTATCAACGCCTCCCATACCTTTATTATACTCAAGCACAGATGCCGGTTTTATAATATTTTCGCTATCGCCACCTTCATTTTTTCTCCTTTTGCCTGTGTTTATGAAATCAGCATTTGAATGTTTCGTGCTAAGTATGTGAACGTCTTTTTTATCTCTCCATTTCAAAGCCAATAAACCGTGACTGGATAAAGTTTTGATTTCTCCTTTTTTCAACTTCATTGAAGAAAACACCTTTGGCATATTCTTCCTGTTTTTCCGAACAGTTCCAACAGCATTCGTATCATTTTTTAGTAAGGTCAGAAATAAATGTGGTGATGAATAAAAATTATCCATATACAACGTGTAACCTTTTTTTAAAATAGGCTGTGCCACTTCCATGACTACACTCTCAGTAGCAGGTATATCACTTCCCTGGATTTTATCCTTGCCAACATAAATTTTGAAACGAATACAATAACCTGATGTAGATTCGCAAAGTTTATAAAATTTTATGCCAAAACGAGCTCTTTTGGAGGCAATAAATTGAATAAAACTCAATCGACCTTTGAATTTCATTAACGATTCATCAATAGCTACTTCACTATCAGGAGTATAAAGGTAACAAAATTTAGTATTTAGGTAATCCACTATATTTCTAATCTTTCTTATTCTGTCATCTTTATTTTCCTTTTCATTATCCGTAAAATATAGAAAGCTTGAAATATCAAAAAACCTATCGCGTGGCATAGTGCTGGCAAAAATTGGAGTACTTATTGCATATCTTTTTGACCAATACATATGCATTTTCGGCTTCTTCATTTGCGACATCAAGATGCATAATGCAATATAAGCTTTCATTTCATCAGAACTTACAGGAAACCACCTTTGGTTTTTTTGTTATACAACCTTCTTTTTCTATCACTTGTCTGGCATATCTATTCGTCTCTTCTACTATAATGTCCCAAAAATCTTCATTCAAGACTTCTTTCAAAACATCTAAAGGCGTAGGATTACCACCTAGTCTACGCAGGCTCAAAGGATTAATTCCAGATATTTCAGAAAAACTTTTTATATCGGCTACATTTTCTTCTTCTTCCCAAATCCATTCCTCTGATACTGGTTCACGAGAAGATTCACTATCACTGCTCGATAGACGTCTTGTGCGTCTTCGAAACCTTGGTTTTATATTACAATTGTCATCATTTTCTGGTTCACGAGAAGATTCACTATCACTGCTCGATAGACGTCTTGTGCGTCTTCGAAACCTTGGTTTTATATTACAATTGTCATCATTTTCTGGTTCACGAGAAGATTCACTATCACTGCTCGATAGACATCTTGTACGTCTTCGAAACCTTGATATTATATTAAAATTGTCATCATTCTCTATTTCAATATCGTCTTCATCACCTTCGCTTTGTATTTCATTGTAATTGTCAATTTCAGGATCACTAAACAATTCTGCTTCAGATTTCTCAAAGTCACTTTCGCTATCACTATCATAAAATATATTCCTTGTTTTTGACATAATGGGGCAGTATATCGCAAATAATGTTCACCGAAATACTGTAATTGCCTCTTCTATTATGACTGATACAAGCTACAATGAAATGAACAGAATTGTGCCTAACCTCAAATAACGTTTTAGACACGTCATCCGCTCCTAGGGAAAACAAGTGAATGACGTCTCTCAGACGTCAAATGTACCCAAGAGTTTAATTTTTGGTTTGACGTCTTAAAACGTCATCCGCTCCTAGGGGAAAAAAGTGAATGACGTGTCTCAGACGTCAAATATACCCAATTCGGCATCATTTCCGAATGATGCCAGAAGGTTTTGAAGCCGTAGAAAATCGTTTAGGGCAATTATTGACTAATGAGGAAAGTTGTGGATGGCCTATGATACCTGTACACGTACAACTGTTATCAACGATTTGGCTTCTTGCTACACCAGATTCGTTCAGGTATGTATTAAATTTCTAAATAAAATATATATAAAAGTAACCAAGTACAAAGAGTATCTATCTATAATAATTATAAACTTTTTGTTGTAGATCTATAAGTGAAAAATTTAACTTAAGCAAATCTTCCTTACATAACTGTGTGTGCCGAGTTGTGAAAGCATTAAATATTATAGCAAAGGAAGTTATTAAATGGCCTACAGGTGAAAAATTAGAAATAACAAAAGAAAAATTTATGAATCTCGGGTAAACTCCTATGCCTGGTATAGTAAGAGCAATCGATGGGTGCTTTATATTTATAAAGAAACCTAACATTGAGGTATCTCTCTTTCTTTCTCTTTTCTTTCCTCTTTCTTCATAGCTTTAAATTCTTTTCTATTTGATTAAAAGACTACATTTAATAGTTTGGTTTTTTTTTTAACAGGAATTTGCTATTCATTACAAAAGCAGTAAGCTACAATATGCTATAGTTCTGCAAACAATTTGCGATGCAGATTTGCATTTTATAGATTGTTTTGCAGGTTACCCAGGATCGGTAGGAGACTACCGAATTTTCCGGAACTCTGATATATACAAAGAAGTTCACAATAATTCTTGCTTTCTTTCCGGAAAATGAATATATCATCGGTGACAAGGCATATCTGGTTTTAACATGATGCATTCCACCGTTTCGAAACAATGGGCGTCTTACAGAAGTAAGTTCAGAAAGTTACTAATTTATGAGATATATTTAATGGAAAAAACTATATTTTGAACACTCGTATTAATCAGTTCATATTTGATAACTTTCTAGCTTTCATATTTGATAACTTGGTAGCTTTCTATGGAAAAAAAGTATATGACAATATATATGAAACCAATAGTCGTTAATGAGTGCAAAGTGAAGAAATTTCTGATATTTTATTAAAAATAACAATATTTTTCGTTTGTATTTTTTGTTTCCTATTGACAGAAATCATTGTTTATTTCAGAACCAAAAGAAATTTAATAAAATAATATCAGAAAAAAGACAAGTCATAGAAAGGGCTTTTGCTCTTCTAAAAGGGAGATTTAAACGACTCAAATTTCTTGATATGTCTCGTCTAGACTTAATACCATTTTTCATAATTGCTACTTGTGTCCTTCACAATATTTGCTTACGAGGTATAGATGATAATATAGAAGAGTTTGTAGAAGAGGGACGTGATCTATATGACGAGGCAGATGAAGATAATGTTGACGATCCTGAATACGATGATGAAGGACATGAATTTGCTAATGGAGAAATTATGCGTAATTATCTATGTCTTCAAATAGCTAGGAGGCAATAAAGTTGGTAAAATCCTTATACTATGATATAGTATTGGGTGAGTGCAAAAGTTCGTGCGGAGTTTGTGAGTAAAAGTCACACAGTGATTAGGCAAACAAAAATCTTTATTCAATCAATGATATATTCTCCATCGTTTTCTATAATCTTTTCCCAACGTTCTGGCAGCATACGGATGCCTCGATCATAAAAACTGCGCGGTTTAGATTCGAAGAACGAAGAGACGCCGTTTTTTAAGGCCTCCAAAGAGTCAAAGTTTTTTCCATTTAAATAATTTTGCAATGACCGGAACAAGTGATAGTCAGATGGTGCGATATCAGAAGAATACGGTGGATGCGTTAAGACATCCCATTTCAGGCTCTTCAGTTTGCGCAGCGTCTTTTTCGAAACGTGTGGTCTGGCGTTGTCGTGATGAAAGACGACTCCCTTGCGATTTGACAAAATCGGACGTTTCTCTTTAATTTCTCGATTCAGATTGGTTAATTGGCGACAGTACTTGTCCGAATCAATCGTTTCGCCAGCGGGGAGAAGCTCGAAATAGATTATGCCCTTGCAATCCCACCAAACAGAGAGCATCACCTTCATCGGGTGCAAACTGGCCTTTGGCATTGCGTCACCATGCTCACCTGATTGTTTCCATATCCGTTTGCGCTGAACATTGTTGTAGAGGACCCATTTCTCATCGCCCGTCACTAGTCGATCCAAAAACGACTCGTTATTGAGCCGCCTGAGTAAAGAAACGGCTGCAGAAATTCGCTTGATTTTGTTCTTCTCAGTCAGCAAATGGGGCACCCATATATCGAGCTTCAAATCGAATCCCATCTTTTTTAAACGCCGAAAAGCGGTTGATCGGTCAACGTTTAGTGCTGTAGCAACTTCTTCTGTTGAAATTCGCGGATTATTGAGCACTAAAGTACGCAAAACATCGTCATCAATGTCAAAAGATCGACCAGAGCGTGGCTCGTCTTCAAGGTTAAATTCTCCGCGCCGAAATTTAGCAAACCATTTTTCCACAGTTCGTTTAGCTGGTGCTTCATCCTGATAAACATCCTGAATGTTTTTTACGGCTGCGGCAACGTTTATTCCCTTCCGAAACTCGTAAAGCATAACATGCCGTAAATGCACCTTATCGATACTCATTTTTAAAGTGATATTTCTCGAAGCAGTTTGTATGAAAACAAATGATTTTTTTTTTAATAACAGCTGAAGACGTCACCTTTCCAACGTTATATAATATGTAGATGGAAGTATTAATGACAACACTTTACGACGCTTATAACTCCATCTATTGAAACTCCGCACGAACTTTTGCACTCACCCAATATATTATGTTATTTTATGTGTGCGTGTGTATAACATTAAATAAATTATACTTTATATATTAATTAAACTCATTTGTTTCTTGTTTTATTTCAGGGTTTATAGATATAAATAGTTAATATATATGTAACATGTGTGTGTATATATCTTTTATATTTGCAAATTTAGATAAATTTCTTTGCCAATGTGACCAATTAAGAAAAGTACAAAATTATTTCACTAATTTGGGGCTAAACTCTCTGTGATTTAATTGAAATATCTATATTCAAATCATATATACATATAATATTATATTATTTAATATTATTAAGTTAATTGAAATGACCATATGTATAATAGTATATATGTATAATAGTATATGTATAATAGTGTCAGAAATAAAACAATAGAAACTACCGAAAATACAAAGTTATTTATTTTGCATTTTTATTAATATAAAATACATAATATTTTAGACAAAACGTAGAAAGCAATCCAGTCGATAGTTACATAGTTGCTATTAAACATCTGCAAAAATCTTAATAGAGAAAACAATATTTCTCATAAACCAACTTATTAAATTACAAAACAGTTTATTATAACAGCTTATGACAAAAGAAAAACAATTAAAGATAAAGGTCTGTGCATTATTAAAGCTTATAACATATATATTTTGTACTATATTACATACTATATGACAAAAATAATTATATATAGCAAGCTTAAGTCTGTAAATACTTAGAACAAAAAAACCAATATTTTTATAATCCAATCTTACATCTATAAGGTCGTCTTAAATTTATTGAATTCACAGCACATTTCATTAGTTTATATCTGAGCAGGAAGTTGAGATGGTTATAAATATAAAATTCGACAATAAAAATTTGCCTCTAAAGAAATAGATTATTTAAGCACAGCCACTAACGTCTTACATAAACCTAATTTAACCTAAGCGAAAGTTCACACCTTGACAGAAAACAGAAAAATACAAGCTAATTAGAACCTGTAATTAATAGCTGATTTTGTTTTCTACCAGAAACTACTAATTAGAAGGTTTGAGTAGCTCCTGATTTTTCTGCTTTTTATTTTTTTACTAAAGTGTATTTTCGCTGTGAATGTCCGTAATATTGCACGAAACAAAATATATTTTATCATATTATGTTTATATATATTTGGAATGTACTTCATATTTATAATAACCGCACAACAAGTTATTTTTATTATAAAACAAAAAGTCTCAACATCTTAAATCATCTATTATTAGTAAAAGTAAAAGAAATGCTAAAAAGACAGGAACTTTCAAAAATCATAATAAGCAATCATGCATAAGCAATTATACTTAATAAATTATAGTGACTTACAATTTATCAAGTAATTTTTGCATTACAGCTTGATAAGAATCAACAGCTCTATTAAGGACATTCAATGTCTGCTGATGACGTTCATCTTGAGCTGCTTCTCTTGCTTTGGCATCATCTCTAACAAGGAGAGGACGCATCGACCGGGAAACGGTTTGGAACGAAACTTACGGAGTTAATAGTACTTGACTACTAATAACTCATGGTAATAGCATATGACGCAATACCTCTTCGTTTTCGAGAAAAAACGGTCTAAAGAAAAGAGCCAACATAGTGTACGAGTTAGTAAGAGAAGTATTCAACAAAGCGGCGTAGCGCAGCAGCGAAGGTAACGAACTACCGAGCTGACGGCTGAGGTTCGATCCCTGCTGTATGGTTTTTTTTATTCTGTAAGTATAAAAATGAAACAGAAAACATTAATAAGTAATAAAACTGCGTTTCTTAAATATATTAGTGTTTGTTAATTATATTATTGATTTAAATTGCAAAAAAACCGTAAATCTTATCTATAAAATATATAGTGTATGAGAAAATTTTTATATAATAATTGCAATGGAAATAGGAGTAAAAATATATTATATTTTCGCTGGAGGATTTTTCGATAATA